TTCATTTTGATGTATGGCAAGCACCACTTACATCCATGGGAGGAGCAAATTACTTTGTGTCCTTTATTGATGATTACTCCAGGAGATATTGGGTGTATCCTATCAAGAAGAAGGCGGATGTGTTCTCAATCTTTAAAGCCTACAAAACGCAAGTCGAGCTTGAATCTGAAAAGAAGATCAAGTGCTTGAGGTCAGATAATGGAGGGGAATACACAGATGGTGAATTTCTTACATTCTGCATGCAATAAGGCATCAAAAAAATAATTCAATACTTCTTACACTCCTCAACAAAATAGAGTGGCAGATGAAATGAATAGAATGCTGTTGGAAAGAATAAGAGTAATATTGGCAACTGTAAATCTGGATAAAGTCTTTTGGGTGGAAAAAGTAAAAACCACCTGTTATGTGATGAATCGATCTTCATCAACTGTAATATAGTTAAAGACGCCAATGGAGATGTGGACCGACAAGCTAGCTGGTTATTCTAACCTTTATATATTTGGAAGTCTGGTGTACATTATGTACAATGCCCAAGAAATTACAAAGCTAGATTCAAAATCTAGAAAATACATATTCTTGGGGTATGTTGACCGGGTAAAGGGGTATCGCTTGTGGAATCTCACTGCCCGCAAGGTTATCATTAGCAGAGATGTTATCTTTGTAGAGAATCAACTACAAAGTGAAGAAAAAGAAAGCAGTTCAATGAAGGACTCGAAGACTGTAGCTGTTCAGGTAGAAAATGATCCAAATTCTTCTGAAGCAACGCCAAAGCATGATGTACAAGAACCAGTTGAGTTCGAGGCCCTAGAAGTTCGAAGGTCAACTCATGAGAGAAGACCACCGACTTGGCACTCGGAGTATATTACGGAGAGTAATATTGTATATTATCTTCGAACAGAGGATGGAGAGCCATCAACTTTTCATGAAGCTATAAATAGCATAGATGCATCTTTATGCATGGCAGCAATGTAGGAAGAAATTGAAGCTGTGCATAAGAATAAGACTTGGGTACTTGTGTCACTGTCACAAGGAAGAAAGACCATTGGAAATAAATGGGTCTATAAGATCAAGTGAAATGGTGATGATCAAGTGGAGCGATATCGTGCTAGATTGGTGGTAAAATAATATGCTAAAAAAAAGGTATAGACTTTAATAAAAAAATTTCTCCTGTAGTTCGACTTACAACAGTCGAATAGTCCTGGCTATGAGCGCTAATAGTTCTAGCTATGAGCGCTATATTTGACTTACATCTAGAGCAGCTAGATGTGAAAACAACATTTCTTTATGGAGATCTTGAAGAAAAAATTTACATGCTCCAATCAGAAGGTTTTGAAAAAAAGAGAATTTAGTTTGCAGATTGAACAAATCTCTCTACGGTCTAAAGCAGGCGTCGAGGTGTTGGTACTAGATATTTAATTCATTCATCATGAGTCTTGAATACAACAGACTTAATTCAGACCCTTGTGCGTATTTTAAGAGGTTTGGTAAAAATAACTTTATTATCTTACTGTTGTATTTGACAACATGTTGGTTGTAGGCCCCAACAAAGATCGTATCAAAGAATTAAATGCACAGTTGGCTAGGAAATTTGAAATGAAAGATTTAGAATCTGCAAATAAGATTCTAGGGATGCAAATTACCGAGACAGAATTAATAGGAAGATTTGGCTTTCTCAGAAAAATTATTTAAAGAAAATCTTATGATGTTTTAATATGTAAGATTTTAAATCAATTTCTACCCCACTTCCTGTTAATTATAAGTTATCATCCACTATGAGTCCTAGCAGTTTAGAAGAGAGGATAAAGATGTCTCGAGTACCGTATGCATTAACAGTGGGAAGTTTAATGCTCGCTATGATTTTTACAAGACCAGACATTGCACAAGCAGTGAGAGTGGTCAGTTGATACATGACGAATACTGGTAAAGAGCATTGAAATGTTGTAAAGAGGGTCCTAACATACATTAAAGGAACCTCAAATGTTGCTTTATGTTATGGGGGATCAGATTTTATTGTCAATGGATATATTGATTCTGATTATGCAGGTGATCGTGATGATAGAAAATCCATCATGGGCCATGTGTTTGCACTTGCTGGCGGAGCTATAAGCTGGATTTTAAAACTGCCGTCAGTTGTGACTACTTAAATAACAGAAGCAGAATAGATAGCAGCTACATAAGCTAGTAAAGAGGCGATTTGGTTGAAGATGGTGCTGGAGAAACTCGGACATGAACAAAAGAATATTTCTTTATTTTGTGACAGTTAGAGTGCTTTGCATTTAGCAATAAATCCAGTTTTTCATTCAAAGACAAAACACATTCTAGTTCAGTACCACTTCGTTCGTAAAGTAGAAGAAGGAATAGTGGATATGCAGAAAATTCACACCAATGACAACCTAGTAGGCTTTTTGATAAAAACAGTCAATACTGATAAATTTATTTCTTGTCGATCCTCTTGTGGGGTGTCGATCCTCTTGTGGTCTGTCGCAGACGTGAGCAGCATAAAGATGACAAGATAGAAAGAATGGTGTAAAGATATGATTGATACTCAATCAAATCTTCAAGTGGGAGATTGTTAGTCGAAATTGTTGAAGGAGAAAAATAAATGGGCCCCACCACTCTAATTATGCACCGAAAGTGGAAAGCACCGAAATATTGGCACAATAAAAATATTATAAAATTAGGAATAATGTTTTCCCAGCCGTTATAAATAGGCCCAAAACTCTTCAGAAAAAATCCATCACAGAAACAACTCCACATATAGAAGAGTGAGAAAGAAAAATAAAGAGAGTTTCTCCTTGTAAAGAGAGATTGTAACTCTAAAGTTTTTTTTTCTCATAGTGGATTCTTCTATCATTACCTATGGTTTTTACCCCAAATTCATTTAGAGGATTTTTCACGTAAATCTGTGTGTTCCTTTTATCCCTACTATTTGCGGGGACTCTGCTCTATTGGGCCACGGGCTTGTCCCAACACATATTGCAATTTAAGCCCTTGGCCCTGTTTAGATTAGGTTTATGGAAGATGGATTTAGGAGAATGGTTAAGCTAGTTAAACTATTTGGAAAAAGAAAGGGATTAGATTGCATAACTCAATTGGTAGATTTATCCCATCCTTGCTATTTTAGAGATCTGGAATAGAGAGAATAGTCCATTTTTCGAATAAATAAAGAGGTTATCTTTTAAAGCAGTCTAAATAGGCATAGTAAACTCCTAACTTTCAGGCGTTAAGTCTTTCTAGAAAGCCTAAGATCGAGGCTGTCTTAGCTCTTGTCTATGTATATATCTATATGACGCGCATACACTTAGCATTTGACAAATTAAAATGAGTTACTCACTTCATGTCGTGGTTATTTTTATATCCAATAATCAGTGGCGGATCCACCCTTGTTCAAAGTGGTTCACTTGAACCACCTCATACAAAAGTTCTCTATAGCCTAGTGGTATTGCAGTTGGTAACATTTTGTAAGAGGTCTGGAGTTCAAACCATCCAGCCTTCGAAAATTTCTCTTTTAGGCTTCTTTCCTTTTACCTCCCCTCTATTCTTCTTCTTCTTCTTCTTCTTCTTCTTCTTCTTCTTCTTTTCCTTTCATTTTATCCCTTTGTTCTGTCTACCTCTTTAAGGCCTTCTATAAATATTTTTGTTTCTTATATATATAAGTCAAATCATTGTTTAAAAATGATTGTTTTTCTCTTTAATAACCCTTCCTTCATTTTTTTCCCACCTGCTATTATTTGAGAAAAAAATTTAGTGTATATTTTGAACCACCACCAAAAATGTTGTAGATCCGCCACTGCCAATAATTTAAGATTAAAAAAAAGGATTGCCAAAGAAGACTTTATTACTTATCTAACAAATACGTTGTAGAGCAATGAAGTTACAGGGATTGAAGCCAGGACACTCATCTATGGAGAAACTACAGGAGATGCAAATCTGTATACCAAGAGACAATGGAGAAACTGGGATTGAAGTCATGACGCTCATCTTGAAGAAACTACAGGAGACAAAGGATATAGATTTTCCGACAGGTGAAATAACATGAAACTGAATCCATTTGAATCTGAGAGACCATCCCTCTTACATATCATCTTGGGCATATTAGGAACTGATGTGCGCGACGCGGAAGCGGGAGAACCAAACGGGCGTGCTTCGAGAACCAAATCAAACCAAACGTCGAGATAAAGGCCAAAACAACCAAAATAACGACACAAATCCAAACACAATAGTTTAACGTGGTTCGTCAATTGCCTACGTCTATGGGGCAAGAAGGCAATGATGTTTTCATTAATAGAGAAGAAGAGTACAAACTGAGATTACAAATCACTCGAAAGAACAAACTAATCTCACCAACAAAGCTCTTAATCTCTCCAAATAAACCCTAATTAAATAGCTCAGAAGATACCTCTTTTCTGTGCTCCAAATATCCTCCAATCAATGCTTAATCAAAGCCCAAACAAAGCCTTAAACAAAGCCTAAATAAAGCCAAAGAAACCCTAAAAACGTGTTTCTATTTATAACAAAACACAATCCCAAACTGATTGGGATTCTAAAAACGTGTCTGCCACACCCTGGTGTGGCACACACCACACCCATGACAAACAGGACAGATTCTGCCACACCAGGGTGTGGCAGACAGAGCGGATTCTGTCACACCCATGGCAGACACCACACCAGGATGTGGTGGAGCCTGTTTTGCTTATTCTTCACGTTTTTCTCAATTCCTTCCTCAATTCCTTCGCCGTTTTCACAAGAACTACATAATCGGAGGATTTGTATGCAAGAGCAGGAAGGTTATTTCAATTTATTTAAAAGGTAAAAGACATCCTAATCTGATGTTTGGCAAAAGAAATTACTGGGCAATCTGGTTGGTGTTCCAGAATATTTGTATAGATGAGAAATCTGATGTTTGGCAAAAGAAATTACTGGGCAATCTGGTTGGTGTTCCAGAATATTTGTATAGATGAGAGTGAAGACATCCAGGCTCTCAGCTGACGCTGCAATCTGGTTGGTGTTCCAGAATATTTGTATAGATGAGAGTGAAGACATCCAGGCTCTCAGCTGACGCTGACTCCCTCAGATCACTTAGAAGACACACTCTGCTTTCAACCTTCTGCACGAAAATCAGATTAAAGTTAGAACAAAAGACAAATTAAGGATAACGCAACAGGAAAAATTAGTTGCAATAAGAGCTATACATCTAGTAACTTGATTCCATAGGAACCATATGAAAACAGCCCACAACATATTTTTATGAACTTTTTTTTGGAGAAGATTGTAGGTGTCTAAAAATACCTATAAGTGTCCGTACACAGCTCGAGACGGAGAGAAGATGACGAACGTCGTTATTCGAGTCTAAGAGGATTATCTGACGCCGACAAGTGCATGAACTGGAATGGCGAACCAACTGTGTCTCCTGCGCTCACCAGCCACCTCCAATTGACCGAACGCGCTCGTTAGTCAGTTCGTGCGTGTCAGTAAGCTCCAAGTGATCGAACACGCTCGCCAGTTAGCTCGCGCGCTTCGGTCAGATCCAAAGCGCCCGACGCGCTTGTCAGTCAGTTCCAAGTACCGTAAAGAAGCTAACGAACGGATGAAGCGAGTTAACGACGCGTGCAAGTCAACAAGACGATCAAATACGTAAAACGGCAAAAAATACAAGTTCCGAAAAATCGGAAAACACCAAAAAGTTCAGCCAATGTCAAATTTCCCGCGCAAGCGTGGGTCGGTCGCAGCTGACCCGCGCCCACGCGGGTCGGACTCAGCCGACCCATGCCCGCGGGGGTTGAACGCAGCTGACCCGTGCCCCCCGCGGGTCAGTCACGACTGACCCACGCCCCCGCAGGTCACCAGTGCCCGTCGTGCAGATTTTATCCCCAAACTCATTTTTGACGGTTTTACTCGTTTTTGACGGTTTTTAAGCGGTTTTCATAGGATTTATCCATTCAAGGGGTTCCTAACTGACTTAATATCATTCACAAACATGGTTAGACCGTTATTAACTAAAGATAAGGTCAAATTGCTCATTCTTATTCAAATACCCCCCAACCGAAGCCTATAAATACAGGCCTAGGGGCTCATTTCACGGGGGAGATCAAGAGAGCGAAACGCTGCCGAATTGGAGAGTGAACCCACGAATTTACAGCGAGGGGTAACAGATCTTAGCGAGTTCCTGTGCATAAAGAGTGAAGTTCGAGAGATCTGAGACCCGTCCCCTATTCCTCCGGATTTAAGCTTAGTCTTAATCTTGAGAAGAGTTGTAATCTCGCTTGGTCGAGATTACCGCTGAAGCGATTACTTCCTTCATGAAGTAAGAGCTTTGATTAACTTAATCTATCAACCGGATCTGATCCGCGACGGTCCACGGATATTAACGTCCCCGGCACAGGCAAAGTTCCCACGCAAACAGTGGGTGATAAACGTCTGTTGCGCTGCTTGACAAGAGTTGTACTATTTTATATTTTCATTATATAAGTCGATCTTATAAAAAGATCTATTTTTCTCGTTTATTTGAGTTTATTGTAACGACCAAAGTTATAATAGATTCAAGGCAATGAAAACATCAACTTTTGACCCCAAACAAAGATAAAAAAAAAGAGGTTTGACAATCACATTTGTGTCTTTAAATCATAGAGCTTATACATCAGCTTATGAGATGGAAATTTCACCACAAAAAATTAGCAAGATTGGCTGTGACCCTTGTTAGCACCAAACTAGCAGCATTATTTGGAAATTTTATGAATGAGAATGGGTTTAGGTGAGTATAAACGTCAGTAGTTAATTACAAGCTTCCATAGTGTAATAGCTGAAAAGCAATACCGGTTCTATTAATGTTACAACGGAGGGCTTCACAGACACAGAAGATGTCTATACAAGAGTGGAGAATGACAACACTGAATAAACATAATGAAGACAATAAGAACAACACACAAGGATTGAACGTGGTTCGGTCAGTATGACCTACGTCTATGGGCGAGAACAACAGAGAACTTTACTAATCATAAAAGAGAATATTACAAAGGGAGATCACTCTAATGTCTCACCAAACTCACACAAAGAAGAGAACATTAAAAAACTCTTTTTTTTCTTTTCTTTTCAAATCTCTCTTTCTTCTCTCTGTTCTCAATTTCTATTCTATGCTCTAACCCTTCACACTCCTGTATTTATAACCTTCAAAATGGTTGGTGGAATAATATTTTGGGTTGGTGGAACAATAAAGTTTGGTGGGTCTTGAATTCAAAGTCAAATAACAAATCTCCACCTTGACTTTGAATATGAAGATCTTCTCTTCACTCTTGTTATCTCGCTAAAAGCCCCTTACGGTAACCTCCACTTTGTTAAACTCCAAGCAATCTGAGGCAATGCTCGAAGTTGCACGAAGGTACGGGCTTCATTATCATATCTGCTAGATTATCTGTAGTACCAATTTTTTCAATCTTGATGATCTTAATTTCTATGATAAAATGATACCTGATATCTATATGTTTAGTTCTTTCATGATACATCTAATGCTTCGTCAAGTGTATAGCACTTTGGTTGTGATAAAATACTGTAGTAATACTGTAGGCATCAAAAATTGCCTATAGGTCTCCACGAACGGCGCAGTGTTAAGGAACGACGATGAACGTCACTATCCGGTTCACAGGAGTTCGATTGATTTCGATGAACGCTTGAAGTAAATCGACGAACTATGTGAACTAACGAAGGTACGGGCTAATCGGGAGCCCCGTGATGTTTACAAAAGGAACAATGTCCTTCGTGTCTCATTCATTCTACAGATGATCTAACCATCGGAGCTGATAGAACTCCTTGTCGGCTTTCCAACACACTTCGAATCACTCAAATCCGAGTTCGGACGAAGGAATTACAATGGAAACAGATAAATACACCATATGGAGTGTCTCGGACCAACGAGACACCCTTCGGTGTCTCGGCCCAAAAGATAAATACACCATATGGAGTGTCTCGGACCAACGAGACACCCTTCGGTGTCTCGGCCCAAACCGAGATACCCTAGGGTGTCTCGGATCAATAGGAGACACCCTAGGGTGTCTCCGATCAAATGGAGACACCCTGGGGTGTCTCCAAGGCAGATTTGGGCCTTTAAGTGTTTTTAATCGCTCCGTTATCCCCTCAAGCCTATAAATACAAGCCTTACGCCTCATTTTTTGGAGATCTGGAATTTTGGAGAATTGGCGAAGCCCTGCCGAACTGAAGAGTGATCGAGTTCTTCAACACAAGAGATCGAAAGTCGTCAGATCTACATCACCCGCATCCAATCCTTAGTATTATCCCGTTGTGGTAATTCTAAGAAGAGCAATTATCTCGCTTTTGTCGAGATAAGCACTTCTGTTTCTAGATCTCCTCGCGGATCGACGAAGCTCTGGACCTGATCTGATTGCCAGGTAGTCCACGGATATCGACATCCCCATCACAGGCTAAAGACCTACGCAAGCAAGAGACGACGAACGGATCTTGTGTTTATTTTTAAGAAAGTTGTAATCTTTTATTCTTTTGTTGTTTGAATTCATTTGTAACGCTTAAAGTTTAATGAAATCAATGACTAAGGTAACTTTCGATGAAAACAAATACATTGGTGTAAGCCGAGATCTTCAATCAAATCTCTCAACCAAATTGCTTCTTTCACTGCTTCTGTCATTGCCATATACTCTACCTCTGTGGTAGACAAAGTAACTGTCGACTGTAGATTTTCCTTCCAGCTAATGGCACTACCTGAAAGAGTGAATATATAACCTGTCAAGGAAGGTCTCTTATCCAAATCGCCCGCATAATCTGAATAAGAATAACCAAGTATTCTGCAATCTGAGTTTGTGTTTCTGCCAAAATATAAATCAATATTAGCTGATCATCTTAAATATCTAAGTACCCATTTCACAGCCTGCCAATAGACCTTTCCAGGCTTATCCATATACCGACTCACAACACTGACTGCATGTGAAATATCAGAATGGGTGCAGACCATAACATATATAATGCTTCTAACGGCACTCGCATAACGAACACAAGACATGTACTGCTCCTCTTCACAGGCTTGGCATCAAGCACACTAAATCTTTCCAACACCTTCTTGATGTATTTCTCCTGAGATAAGAATAAACTTCCTACTCGCCTATTCTTGTGGATCTCCATTCTTAAAATCTTCTTCGATGCTCCCAAGTCATTTATCTCAAACTCATGTTTGAGTTGAGATTTTAACTCATTGATTTCTGACATATCTTTAGTTAGAATTAACATGTCATCAACATACAAAAGCAAATACACAAAATAGCCATCATTTAGCTTTTTATGATAAACACAACTATCATATTTACTCCTAGAGTAACCATATTCAAACATGAAAGTATTAAAATTCAAATACCACTGTATCGGAGACTGTTTCAAGTCATAAAGAGATTTCTTCAACCTACACACATGATATTCTTTACCTTCAACAATAAACCCCTCTGGCTGATACATAAAGATCTGATCTTCAAGCTCATCATGTAAAAAATACTGTCTTTACATCAAGTTGCTCAAGCTCCAAATTAAAATGAGCAACCATAGCAAACAACACGCAGATTGATGTATGTTTTATAACTGGAGAGAATACTTTATTGAAGTCTACACCTTCAGTCTGACTGTAGTATTTAGCTACCAAGCGTGTCTTGTATCTTACATAATCGGTATCTAGAGTTTCTTCTTTTTTCTTGAACACCTATTTACAGCCAACAATCTTCTGTCCCCTTGGTGGCTTCACTAACTCCGATGTATGGTTCTTGTGAAGAGACTCCATCTCTTCAGTCATCGCAACAGTCCAATTTGTAGTCTCATTATCACTAATAGCCTCCTTATAGGTAGAAGGCTCTGGAATCTTAATCGACTCTGTTATACTCAAAGTATAAGCAAGCATGTCTGCATAACATTGAGGAGGTCGGATTTACCTTTTTGTTCTTCCGGTGGCAATATTATACTGTTGCTCTTACGGTGTATCAGCATCTAAAGTTGAACCTTTCGTAGTATTAACTGGTTCAACATGAACTCCCTCAAGCACTCTCTTTGAAGCTGGGCTTTCTAGCTCCACCTACTTGCTAAACTCCTTTTTGGTACCTGTGG